TTCATCTTTGCATTCCTCAGATCTCTAGCATAGCAATATTTCTTAAATATTGTGTGACTAATCAATCTAGAATTAATTAATTAATTAATTAATGCCCTAATAATGAATGAACTCTTATTGAGAAAGAAGTACAGAGAGAGGGCTCACCGACAGTAGGTGGTGGAGTGGTAGAGAGTAACTAGTGAACAATAGTAAAGAAAATGGCTAGGGACCTCAGAAGGAGAGAAGAGAGGAAACTTTTAACTCTCCGCAGGCATACTATCTATTCCATAAATTATCTTTGAAATACAACACATTCTTCTGCCAGTCGCCCAGGATGAAGGTAGATTTCTCAATGTATGGATGACTCTGTCTCTGACTCAGGCTGGAAAATACAAAGCCAGGTGGAATGGTGGCGCGTTATCTAGCTATGGTATCCAGTTTTCTCTGAGCCTCCTTACACACAGGTAGGAGAGAACTAACTGTAAGGACAAAGGGGAAAATGATGAAACCCGTTTGAGGTTGGTTTTTCTAAAATGTTTTCAAGTAGAATACATCAAGGAAATTTACCACATAAAATAGCTAAATATTTTTTCACATCAAGAGAAAGACTGAATTAGGATCCTGTTGTTATTTTAATCCTCACCTGAGGGCATGCTTATTGATTTTAGAGAGAGGGAGGGAGAGAGAGGGAGAGAGAAACATCGATCTGTTGCCTCTGACAGGGGATCAAATCTGCCAACCCAGGTATGTGCCCTGACGGGAAATCGAACCCACAACCTTTCAATGTACAGGACAACATTCCAACCATCTAAGCCACACTGGCCAAGGAACTTATTTTTTAATCATTTTATAAGAATATCCTTCTGCCAAGTTTTCTGTGTTATGGCTTTTTGATGTGAGTACCATTTCCTTTGAACCTTAGTCATTTTTAGTCCAGCCAAAATGAATGACTTCTTTAAAGTGCTATTTTTGGACAATTACACAGGGAAATTAATCATGGTGCCCAAATAATGGTCTAGGTGTTCTATTTCATTATTTTCAGTTTAGTCTGGGAAATATGTTACCAGTTCTTCACCCAGAGAGTAAAAAGGTTTCAATTTATTAAAAAGTACTTGTTATTAGAAGCAATCAATGGCACAAATGTAATAATGAAAACCATTCCTGCTACTTCTACGCCGGCGAAGCCAGCCAGTCACTGTGCTAAAACAAGCTCTCGTCTGCTAAGGTGTGACTTGAAAAGCCTGGAAGATGTTCCTCTCCAAGACAAGGGTCATGACATCACTAGTTCTAGCCCAATGTTCCTTAAAATGCTAAGATCCCTGGGAAGGACAACTCCATTTCTAATACATGTCCATTAAAGGTGCACTTCAAGAATTCACTGGCTGCCTGGACTAGCAAACAAAACAGCAAATTTGCAAATTTTTGCAAAGTGCCAGTGCTAACAATAAAGGCCATGCTGTTTACAGTGTTGGTTCAACAAGTCCCCATAGATCACACAACAGACTCCAAAGGAGTCAGACCACTCGAACCAGGAAATATACAGAACTATCTCTAATGTCCAAAACCCTGGATACAGAGCTGGAGAGAATGAAGAGACCAACAAGGAGCCTGTGAAAGAGAAATCAGCATAAAAAGCCTGTGTGAGCCTCCGGCTCCTTTTCCCCAAGTCACTTCCCAGCGTACAGGCAGACCTGATATTCTTATCTCCTCAATATTTTAAGCCCTCTTCTCTGTGTGTCACCCTACTTCTTTTCGTTAGCAGTTCCAGTCCCCACAAAGCCAAGCTGTTGCACAGCTTCAGGGCACAACCCACATAGAATAGTGAACATGAAGCCCCCCAGAGTGGTACAGTGCCCAGCCCAGGGCCACATGGCGCTGCTGTCTTCCCAGTTTTTCTCACTACCCAGATCATGACCAAACTTCATGGTTCATATTCCACCTCCTTGATCTGAAAGATTTCTTGATTTTTCTTACCTAAAAACAGTTTTATCTTCACAAAATGGCTTTGGACTCAAAGTTCACAATGTAAATTTCCTTGAAAGAAATTCTGAAGGCAAAGGATTAGTATAAAGGAACCCACCCTTGAACATCCCTAGAGTGTAAATGATATAGTGAGAGGGACATGGGACTGAGACACAGGGAATTTAGGTCTAGAGCAAATGGAGCTAAATCGCTGAGCAAGCTTGGCAAGTCATATCAGTTGTCTGAGTATCAGTTTCACATATATAGTATAAAAGAGGTAAATAAGATACCTCAAACATGCCTGTCAGTCCCAATATTTTGTAGGGCCTTGGAATAACACCTCCAGAGTAAGGGTATATGAGTCCCTTACCGCCACCCCATAAGGGAGAGTATTAGGTGGACTTTGAAAGTCTGGGAGACCGCACACTAAATGCTCCTACACGTGGGACCAAATGGCACATGGGCTTGAGCTGGGGTAACCTGCCTCACCAGGCATATCCCTGCCTCTCCTCTCAATACCAAATCTTTAGATAGATTTTTTCTTATCTTTACTCTGCCAAACCTGGCACATAGCTGCCACATTTTTACCAGCCCACTCATGTTTGCTAATGCCAAGTGCCTCCCACTCTTAGCTACAGCACACACACTCCCATGTGACAATGCTAATAAAGTGCAGGTGTCTGCTGCAAGCACATATATCTGCAGCTCTAAATATAAGAACCTCCTCATTTTTAACAAATCTAATATTGCAAAATCTGCATTTACAAGTACACATACTTACATATGTATGTGAAAGTATGTGGAGAATGAATTATTTGCTTTGCAAATTAATGTACCAAGGAATTCCTCAAAATACCAGGTCTTTCATGTTTCTTTTCCTTCACTACCTCCCCACAGATATCTTACATGTTTTATTTATCTATTGCTGCTCAGAAATGCATCTATTGTGTAAAATAAGGTGTGCTGTATTCCTAAAAATTAATGGAGAGCAAAATGTATTTCTTTGGAGTCTTCTGGAAAATTTCTTTGATGTCCTGGGTGTATGGGTTTATACAGGGGTGGGGCAAAAGTAGGTTTACACTTGTGAGTACATGAAACCCGAAGCTCATTCTCGTATTATTATTTATTAATTATTGTATTATTTTCCTTGTGAACAACTGTGAACCTATGCCTGCTTCACCCTGTATTTTGAAAGACTAGGCTATGGATTCATATCTGGCAACACCATGAACATAAAAGCTGCGTGGATCTTAACTGCCATTCAGAATCCACCATGATATATAGAACTTAGAAGAGCCACAGGCTTCACACAGGCCACCATGCCTGAAGAGAAATGAACTGATGACATTGCTTTGTGACAATATCCAAGGCCACCATTGTACCCTCACTCAGGTTAATAATGTCTACTGGAGGCAGCTTAAAAAGTTGAACTATTATATTCTGCTTCCTTACACAATAAATGTTAGTAGACAAAACATTAACCACATTTCTGAGAGCGGTGAAGCTATTTTTAGTAACGGTGGTGCTCTGGAAAATGTCATCATTCGTTGTGAAATGCAAATGTGATTTTTATCCAAAGGTAAATGGTAAGCTCAATCAGGTTTGTTTTTTTAAATTTGAGTTTTGTAATGTTTTCTATTTCTCTTTACCCCAGGGGTTTCCTTATCTAAGTGCACACACAGATGAGAACAGGAACAGATGAGGCTAGCTCACATACTTTAGTTTGAAAATAATACCTCTGATGCTAACAGCTCCAAACAAAGGTTTTATCTCACACAATCATTAATAATTCCCTAGAGCAGAGATGTTCAACCTTTTCATCTCATGGCACACTATTCACTTAAATTTTGCTGCAAGCCAAAAAATATATTTTTGCCAATCTGACAAAAAAAAAAAATAGGTATAATTTTGATTCATTCACACTGGACAGCTATTGTGTTGGCCGTTGTAATTTATTAATTTGACAATCTAAGGGAAAAGAGGTGAGATACTAAATTGCCTGGTATTTGCATGTCTTAAAAATTCTTGCGGCACAGCAGCGAAAATAGCTGCCCTAGAGGCTCAAACAAGCTGAGAACCTAACGAAAGCAAAAAGGAAAGCAGTGGGGTCCGCTAATAAGTCATCTCCTCCTCCGCCCACCCCAGCCCCCAAGACACACCAAAAAAAAGTTATGGTTTCCCTGCTTCCAGAAATATAATTGTCTAAAGCTCAGGAACTCAGAAGAATCCCAACTCCCTCTTGGATCCTTAAGAACATATACTGAATTGGGGACATGGCTCAGGTAGCTACAGAAGTTTAGTGAAAACACTCTGTGGAAAGAGCACTGGACCAATAAGCAGGAGGCTGAAGGTGAGATCCGGACAAACCCTTAACCCTTCTGGGCCTCAGTGTTCTCATTATAAAATATAGCTAATGATGCCACATTTTTATTGAGATTGAATGAGATAATAAACTTGAAAATGCTTTGTGAAAGTATTGGGTCTTCACAGTACAGTGTTCTGTGTATTTGTGTGCATTTCAATGCCTATGACATTCTAGAACATTAAAGCTGAAAGTTACAAAAAATAAGAAAAGTGTAAAGCTATTTAAACAAAAAAGTGTTAAAACAAAGCCTTCTTTCTCTTCCCCTCCCTTTGTTTCTCCCTCTTTCTTTCCCTCTATCTCTTTTCCTCTACCTTCTGGAAAAAAATCAGAAGGGGCACTGGATCTTAACTCTGCCTTCTAATAATCATGACTTTTCTAGTTTTCAACCATAGTCAAAGGCTAAATTAGCTGAGCTCATTGATTTTCTACTACTAAGTAGAGGGACCTGTGTTAAATTATTACCAAAATAATAGCATGAAGAAATTTTCTGCTTCTAGAAAAGCTTGAAGTTGGAATCAGCTATTCATTTATTCATTCATTCAACAAATATATATTCGGTGCAAAGCACTAGGGATTTAGAAATAAGAAAAACATAGACCTTGCCCCATGAAGTTCATAATCCAGTGAGAGGTTCATAGTCTCTTATAGTTTAGGAACTAGAAACATAATAGTTTAGAAAGTTTGACTCTACCTGCAACTCTCCTTCCATTATACTGAGTAGCTGGATGAGGTCTTCTTTGGATAACTCCAAGGATTTCTTATTCTTTTTTTCACTTTCTCCAGATGGTTTTAGGTGTCGTTTGACAGTTCCCGAGGCCACGACATCCTCCTCCTTTCTATTGGATTTGTTCTTCTTTTTTGCATCTTCTGAGAGACTTTTATCATCAACATTGCTTATGATGGAGGATTTGGGGCAGGAGATATGCCCGTTGGATGAACTTTCACCACCCTGGTTTCGGGATCTCATTCCCACCTAACACAAAAAAAGATTAGATGTTTTTAGCATCATTGAAATTATTATTTTCTAACTACTTAGAAACATATTGCAACTTTACAATACCACCAGTAAAGAAAAACCAAAAGGTCAGTCCCACTTAGCTTCCTTATAGCTTTAATATATCATTAAAATCTTCAGGAAAATGCTTTGATGGCCTTCAAGAAAGAGTGAAAATGTGATTCTAACCTGAAAAACATCTCAAGCCAAAAGATCAAGGTCAACATCAACAGGGCTAAGTCATGTGATGGTATGTATCTTGGGCAGGAAGTGATAAGAATGGCATTTTACCTTTGTGGTCTTCCTCCCTCAAACATTACCCAAGTCTAATAACGAGAAAAACAACAGAGATCCTAGCTGAGAGATACTCTACAAAATTCATGACCAATAATCTTTGAAACTATCAAGGTCATCAAAAACAAGGAAAATCTGAAAAACTGTCACAGTCAAGAGGAGCTTAAAGATACATGACAACTAAACATGGCATCCTGGATGGGATCCTGGAACAGAAAGATGACATTAAGGGAAAATCAAGGAACGATTAATAAAGTATGGACTTTAGTCAATTATAATGTATCAATATTGGTTTATTAATTATGATGAATGTATCATACTAAGGTAAGATGTTAAATGTAGAGGAAACTGGGTGTGGGGTATTTGGGAACCTCCAGTATTATCTTTGCAACAATTCTGTGGACCTAAAGTTGTTGTAAAATAAAAAGTTTATTTTTTCTGAAGTGATTCTAAGTCCATCAAAAAATTCAAGCCTCAAACCCTGCCAGGAACACAAATGGAAGTTACAATGTGCAGAGAAATCTACAAAGGGTGGAGGGGCTTGAAATGGAGAGAGGAAAAGGGAAAAGCGAAGAAGGCAGTGTAGTTTTCAGTGATATGGAATTTTATTTTTCCATAGCCTTTTTTTTCAAAATCAAGTGGCTGTTTTCTTTAATGTCAGTCACTTACAGAAATAAGAGCACAGAAAATTGGAAGAAAACAGGTCAACTATAAAAACAAATTTTAAAAAAATGTATTTGAGTCCTAGCCGGTTTGGTTCAGTGGTTAGAGCGTCGGCCCGAAGGCTGAATGGTGCCAGGTTTGATTCCAGCCAAAGGCACGTACCTCGGTTTCAGGCTCCAGCCCCAGCCCCGGTAGGGGCTAGAGCGGGAGGCAACCAGTAGATGTGTCTCTCACACATTGACGTTTCTCTCTCTCTCTTCCTTCCACTCTCTCTGAATGGCAATGGAAAAAATATGCTCAGCTGAGGATAAAGTAAATATATATATATGTGTGTATGTATATATGTATGTATGTAGGGGGGGAGTAAAATTAAGAAGAAAGACAAAGCAGCAGCTAACTTGTCCCGTGGGGAGCACCTTTAAGTCATTCCATGATGAATGTTTTACAGATTATCTGTCAGTCGCTAAGCAAAAGGACTTGACCAGCAGGTAAGTTACAAACATACTGAACTCAAAAGCTAGGATTCAACGTGCTGTGAAGAGGCTCTAATATCCCGGGGGCTGCACTACAAAATTTGCCTGCACCCTTAAATATATTAGGTCAGTGTATGGGTTTATTTAAAACTCATAGTATAAATAGTTTTTTCTTTGAACAGCTAAGCAGAAAGATTTTCATTGCTCATTCCAGATAAAATACGGAGATGTTGTTTTCTGAAAGTAAATATCCTTTATGAACCCAAGCATACATAAGAAGCTAAGGAAAGCTTTTCAAAACACTAGGTTTATAATAGAAAAATAAATACAGTGCGGTGTTTCCTTTCAGATAGCGACTATTCAATTCTTTCAACAAATCTTGAAATCTACATTCACATTCCTTTTTTGAAGTGAATTCTTATATTGTGTGTGTGAACTTTCTACAGCTCCCTAACCATGAACAGCACAGACAGAAGAGATGGGCCCTAACGCTCCCACGCTGCTTTCTGGTTAACTCAGTGATCTGTTCTTGGAATTTTAGAGCATCTTTCGTGCTTCTCTGATGAAGAAAGAAGAGATGTTTCTTTGTGATGGAAACCAGAGCACTTCAGAGCGGATCTACTGTATTTCATCACAGCTTGTTTGTGGGCAGAGTGGGCTGCCTTCAACCCCAAGACAAAAAAAAGAAAAAAAGAGGTGATGAATAGAAAGTTTCCAGTTTAACTCTTGACCTGTTACACATCACAACTAAGACACATGGGCTTCCCAAATTGAATTGTGACTCCCTACGACACCACACCACATATGAATTCCTTTTATCTGAAATAAGTTTCTCCATAAGATCTTAAGGCTCTTAGAAACGGCACATCAAATATTGATCTGACAACTTCAACTTAGATCATGGGTTAATAGAAATTCCAGACAATAGTTCTCAAAGCACAGGAAGTGAGGGTGGATGTATTAAACTTAATTATACTTAGCCTTGATCATACACAGCACTTGTATTTTACTGTAGCATGGGTTTATGTCTTATTTCCCTGGATTTTCTGTATCTTTTATAGTCTCTATAGCACTAGAATATTCCTAAAATAGGAAAAGTGCATAATTATCTGTATGTTACATGCATTTATTTAATCAATTGTATTTGCAAACATGCAGAAAATCATATTTTCTTATACCAATTCCATATTTAGTTCTTTCTAAAAATTTTAGTGTGATATTAATATTTAAAAATAATTTTTTGTAGCATTAATAGCTTTTACAGGATTATATTAATTAACAAATGAACGTTACTTATTGAATTCATTAATTACAGAATTAATCCATTACAGAAAAAACACATTTTAGAATTATCTAATTATATCAGGTCAAAAGCTTGAGTTCCCTATTCTCTCCCACCTTAATTTGCTTTAGCTGATGGAAAATCTCATGTGCTAGACCCATGATGTTAATGTCTTAGCAAATATTTTTCCTCTGTGACACTGAAATTTCACATTCATTGCGTTCCTCTGACATGTGCACACAGATGTTGGTCCTTTCTTGATAAGCCAAATGGAGTCTACTATCTTCATCTCCACAACAAAGTCAGCAATCAGCACCTGTTCTATCTCAGGAATGCAAAAGTATTCAGATAACTAGTCAAGTAATGTTTAGGAAGGAATTAGGCAACATGTAACGGAGAAAATCATAGTTTCTCAATAGTGTGACCAAGTCTATCGTCAGTAATGTCCACCTTAAGCCACTTTATTCTATTTTGTAAGGAGAAAATGTCCAGACAATAATGAACTTCCATGCATCACATCTAGTGATATTATCATAGTCTTCCTTATTACAATAGCTCTCACTTATTGTTTCTTAAGTGTTACACAGTGTGCTAAGCATTTTACATACAGTGTCTCATTTAATATTCACATCGACCCTATGAAGTAGGTGCTATAAGTCTCAGTTTTAAACATGAAGTCACTACAGTTTGCAGAGATTCAATATATTTTTCTGGATTACACAGCTACTCCTAGTGAATAAAAGAACTAGGGTTTGAAACCCTGCCTGATTCCAAATATCTACGCACTACAGGGCTTTCCTCTAAGTTCTTAATCACATGCAACTTGGAAGGAGGAAAACACCCTGTAAATCAGATGATCCAGAAACATTTACAAATGCTTACTAAGACAATGTTTTTTCACTTCACACTAGGGTTGGAGAAATCCATATGACTTCTTCCATAAACACTCTGCAAAATTCATGCCACAATTGAAATTAGTTTGCTAAGTAAAAATACTTTTTCTAAAATTATTAACCTACTGCAGAACTTGTAAAATGATGAATCATTTAAAAATCTTCTTGAGAAGGAACCTGGTCAATTATTAAGGATGCAGGTTATAAAAACAGGATGCAAAGTCTGAACAGAGACCATCACAGACTAATTGTGTGAAAAGCCCCGGAGCCAAACAATAGTAAACATTTAATCAGAGTTGGCCAGATCCTGTCCATTGTGCTTAGAGGAGTAGCAGACAGGTAACAGGAAAGGCACCTGGCGCTCCGCAGGCTTCTCAATAGTTGATCGCATGGCTGCAAGTTTGGGACATGTAGATAACAAACTGAAAGAAGCCAAGAATGCCTTTGCTTCGTCTTCGTGCATATCCTTCAAAGAAAGTTCTCAAGAGAAAGGTTTCAATACACTGAAGATTCACATCAGATTTGTAATGTGTTTTTTGTTTGTTCGTTTTTTGCCTTTTGAATGCTTTATTAACTTTAACTAGTAGATGAATATAATTAAGCTAACAGTTTGCTCTCGTCGCTGGGCAAATGAGCCATTTGAGACCTCACAAAAGAGTGCAGTGTGGAAACTAGAATAGTTGAATCCTTTCTTCACAGACTAGTCACCTCAAGCAGCAGAGGGCAATCTAAGAGCTTTCGCTGCTGCTCCACGAACCATAAATGTGTTTGTTTGTTTTCAATCAATGTCATTTGGGACACAGATTCTTCTCTTTAATAAGCAAATTATCCTACCATAGTTCATGAAATACACTTACTTTTCCTTTCGTAGTAATTAGTCAGCAATACTTTGCCTGGAATTTGCTGACTAGAGTGTGAAGAAAAGAAAGACCAAACTGGGCCGTAACCAGACCATACTGTCAGATGAATGATATCCTAGGAATCAGAAAATGTTTATGAAGACTTTGGGTCATTTGTGATGAACTAATAAGTATTCCTAGAGCATGCAAACAAGTAAAAAGAAAAGGAAAAGAAAGAAGTCTACAGCAATGGCATACCCACTCCAGTACCCATCCTTATTAGTTCCAGCAACCGTGACCTTGAATTTTCCCTAGAACTTTCCCTCCTGCTCTCAGCTCCTTTCAGATTTGTCTTTTCATGTTATGAGTCAACGTAGGTCACAATACTCCCATTCCTACCTACCACCAACAGAAATTTCTTTTCTGCTTAAATTAGCTTTTGGCAGCTTTCCCATGCTTCCCAAGTATCCAACCCCTGTCTGTTCCTGGTTTTATTTTATCTATGTACTTTTGCAAGAACCTACCCAGAGCACAG